TACATGTGTTTTTCTCTCAAATGGATTAAACTAAAGTTATATGTTCATGATATGCAGCTCACAATATGATCTTTATTGCAGTATTTAGTGGAGAGCAGAACTGTCAGTATTTTACTTTTACTAGGGATGGTACAAGATCTCGTGCCACAAGATTGTGCCCGCATGAGAAAAATTATCTTGTGTTTACATTTGGACTGGATAAAAAAGGGTTATGTGTTAGTGAGTCTCTTTAAAAGTTCCAAAAAGCGGTACTAAAATGGAAACAAAAATATTAAATCAAATAGATACGAAATTGTGAGGACAAAATTGGAAACTGCAGCCGAAAACAATAATTGAGCAGTATAAAGAAAGTTTGGAATGAGAAGAAACTTGTGACACCTGAACCATGAAACCATGAAACTTTTCTGAAGTCACTGGATGGATGGACAAAGCCTGGACTTCATTGACACTGAAATCATCCTGTCAGGATTCAGAAAGGCCGGAATAATTCTAACTGGAACTGATGCTGAGTCTGACGACAGCGACACAGAAGGGGAAGCGGCGCTCTGTTTACCTCCGGAGGTCATGGAGTTGCTCAGAAGTAAATAAATAAGAAAACGAAAAAAACAACTATTTTCTTCATTATTTGTCTCCAAAACCAAACTTAAAAAACAGATAATGATTCGTTTTTTCAGTTTTCGATTTTGTGTTTAAATGAATAATGGAAAAAACGGATAAAGGCCGTTTCTCGTGACGTCAATGCCGGACTTTTGTACTGCATACAGACTGAACCAGGACTGATCCAGGTCCATGACCAAACCGGAACCAGACTGGGACTGAGAGCGGGACCAGACTGGAACCAGACCAGGACTAGACCGGGACCAGAGTAGGACCAAACCCGGACTCAGACCGAGACCAGACCGGAGGCTCACAGCCCACAGCTGGGTCGGAGCTTGAAGCTGAGGCTCGGACCCTTTACAGGCACAGAAGTCACGTAAACGGGTCGTTATCCGTTTTTTCCATTATTCATTTAAACACAAAATCGAAAACTGAAAAAACTAATTATCTGTTTTTTCATTTTGGTTTTGGAGACAAATAATGAAGAAAACTGTTGTTTTTTCATTTCCTTATTTTTGGTTTTATATTGAAAAACAAATAAACGAATGACACACGGATTGTATAGTTTATCTGAAGAACTGTTCATATGTGACATTAACAGTCTGTTGAACTTGACTTTCAACATGAAATGCCTGTTCTTGGTCTCTGATTTTATAAAATAAATTTCCCCCCAAAAGTGCAATATATATAAGTTTTTTCTTCTTCATTATGCATTTTTAGTCAAAAAAAACACACAAAAAAACAGTAAATTTGATTATGTTAAACGTTACTTTTCCGGTGAAGGATCTGCTCGCTCTTGTCTCCATGTTTACTTTGCCTTGATGTTTCACAGGCACTAGGCCTAGTTACAGGTCGGATCTGCGCAGGGGCTGTCTCACCTTGTATTATACTGATTTAATTCTGCTTACATGCTTATATAATATCTGCATTCTCTTTCACTCACACACGGCTGATAACACTTACGCTGTATTCAGGGCAGGCCAAAGGTCACGTACGACCAGTTTAATTTCACATCTATATGGACCAAATCTGAAGAGAAGTGTAGGTGATATTATAAAGGATTATTAGAGATTAAGAGGATTTTTGTCATTATATTGATGAGTGCAGATGGCAATGGGACATAAAGGTTGCGGTCTATTGATACTTTGCATTGGCATCGTGCTGGAGCTGCTCTACATGTACGTCTATGGCGGAATGTTCAACAGTTTCTGTATTAGCAAAGGCTGTCAAATCCGTATTCATATTTATCCGTATCCATCTGAAAACTCCTGGGTTTTTAGGCGTTTGTTTAACAGTAAATATCAGCTGTTCTGTTGTAATTTCAGATACGTCAATTCTTTATTAAAAGTAAGCTCAGACTAAAGACTAAACTGACATCAGACAGAGCAATGCCCACAGTTAGTTTTGATGTCATCAGCTCCAAAGTTTCAATATATAAATCTAATATAAATAATCTAGCAGTGTTCTGGATGTTCTGCAGCGTCTCACAGCTCATGGAGATGTTATTTGGTCTGCCTGTAATGTCCCACAGTATGGCATTAAACTTATATACCTTTCACTTGATTATTTAGAGGTTTGTATTGCTTATACTTAGGGGTGTGCAAATATATCAAAATATTGATATATCGTATCATTTAATGTGATGATACAGTATCGATATCGTGGGCTCCTCTACAGATATATCACCAAGAGTATTTTTTGGTATATTTTACTAATTATTTTGTTACAGTGCTAGAGTTTTGTTGCTTGTTCAGAGGAAGGAAAGTCGTTGATGTGACACATTTTACATTTTCACTCTTTTAAATGATTAAAATGGGTGTTTTTCATATTCACTTTGCACAAGAAGTGGTTTAACAAAGACTTTTAATATCACAGCCATGATTTAGTCTTTATTTTTTATTGAACTGTATCGAACAGATTTGAAACATATTGTGCCAAAGATGTTCATTTTTGTCTTCTTATATACTTTAACTTCTTTTTAAAGACAATGCAGTAAAGTGTGTTTACCTTGTTGACATGTTTCGGCTGCTGGCTGCGAGCCATCTTCAGCACAAAAAGATAAAGCACAACAGGAAAACCTAAAATCCACCATATCAGACTCTGTAAAAGGAACAACCACATTATGGATCTGGACGGGGCTCGGGTCATTGGATCAGAAAACAACAAGTTCAAACGCTGGATCAAGGAGGACGATGAAATCAGGAAACGAGGCACAGACAGTATTAACCGTGATGACGGAGCGTTCCTCCTTTCACACACCTGGGACACCCTCCTCCAGAGACACCGGGCGACGGGAGGCGTGGTCAGTCTGAGCCACCTGCAGGTCCATCAGGTCTGACCACGCCCACAGGAAGTAACAACAGCTGATATACGACACGTCACCACCAACACCGAGGACACTTCTGAAGATATTGCTTGCAGCTGAAACATGTCAACAAGGTAAACACACTTTACTGCATTGTCTTTAAAAAGAACCCAAGAAGTTAATAAAACATATCGTATCGAATCGAAAGTGTACTGTATCGAGATATGTATTGTATTGGCAACTTCTTAATGATACCCAGCCCTATTTATAATTCAAGTCACAGATCTGACATGAAACCCGGCCTTATGGTATTATCTGCTTGTTTATGCTGATAGATGATAAGTTTAAAGCCACACTCTGGAACATTGTAGGGAAAGAAAGGACACAGAGTTACCAGGAGTGGGGTTTGAACCACGAGGACTTCTGTCCACTGGATCTTAAGTCCAACACCTTCACCACTCGGACATCCTGGTGCTGAATTTGAAAAATGTTATAATGCACCTTCAGTAAATTATTAATGTTTAATCCACATTTATTTTTTATCTACATTTATTAATCTACATTTTAAGTACAGTAAGAGAATAGAAACAGGTACTCAAAAATCAAGATATCTGACTATTATTATGTACAGTGCAGCATCTGAGCAGAATAAACTGAATAATATCGAGCTTTATATTTATGATTTGACTCTGGGTGTTTCTAAAATCTAAGAGGACTTTTTAGTGGTTCGGTTTTACACTGTAGAGGCTCGTAGAACAGTTTGTATGGAGTATTGAAGAGCGTGCCAAGTGTTACTGTGAATAATACACAAGGGACAATAGAGGAGCCTGGCCCAGTGCCACAAGAGCACTCAGATCTGGACCAGGCTGAACCAGGACTGAAGTAGGGATGAACAAGAACTAAACCAGGACTAAAGCAAGACTGAACCAGGGCTGAACCAGGATTAAACCAGGACTGAACTAGGACTAAATCAGGGCTGAACAAGAACTAAACTAGGACTAAAGACAGGCAGAACCAGGACTGAACCAGGATTAAACCAGGGCTGAAAAAGAACTAAACCAGAACCAGCAGGATGAACCAGGATTAAACCAGAGTTGAACAAGAACTAAACCAGGACTAAAGCAAGATGAACCAGGACTGAACCAGAACTAAAGCAGGATTGAACAAGAAACTAAACCAGGACTGAACCAGGGACACATAAGGTCACATCAGGAGGTACAGGAGGGTAAATGTTACCTGGTTCATGCCAGATTGATTTGTGTATCAGTCTGAATTTAATTCCACACTTTATCAATCTGGAACAGCTCTCGCTGAAAGAGAGACGACGACTATTTGAATCTGATCGGTTATAAAAGATCAGCAATTTCGGCAATTTCTGAACCATCTGCAGCTAAAATATTCACCCAATCGTCACACAAGTTGGCACACACATAACCGGGGTACACTGGATGTTACAGTTTGAAACGGGGCAAGGTCACATGAAGGTCAAGGTAACCAAGGTCAAATATGCGTTTTTGGTCATAACTCGATCGAGCTCGAGCAACGGGAGTGAGTCTCAAAATCTCAGAAAAATTATTATCTATTTATAATTCAACGCATTTGTATAGTAAAATATTAATAGTTTTCGAGCTAATCACTAATTATAACAGTTCCTTTCTCTTTCAATGTAGCTGTTAAAATTCTAATTGGAAAAAAAATTATTTTAATTTCTTCTTTTTCTGGTGATACACAACACACTGATCTACAGTCACACAACTAACATATACACAACTCATGAACAGTTTTACATTTTGGTTACACACTAGTAAACACACAGACATTCTCACACAAATGTTCATGGGCCTGTACAGATACACACATTGCATTGTGGATATAACGATCATGTGATATGGGCTGGGCTCCTCATGAACTGCTTCTGTGACTGATGCCTCATGGGGGACCAGGTTGCTTCTGATTGCGCTTGGTTTAGTTTCATTACTTGATTGAGTCTTTACACTGATATACTGCCATTGCGTTTGTCATCGTGTTTGTTCCCGACTTGGAAGTGGAGCACGCGGCGATGTTTAACTCAAGAGATTATGTGTTTGCGAGTTCGGAAATGCGGCGTTACGACGTGCAGCTAAAACCCCTGACTGTGGCGTCTGGCGCGCGCTGTGGCCTGGTTGTGCGGTGTCTCTAAAGTGGGGTTTATATTAAGCTCTGTGTGGGCAGTTTGGGGACACTTCTGATGAATGAGTTTAGCTCTCGACTTCTTTAACCTCCACACATCTGCACACACTCGCCCCGCATCACTGAATATATTAGTGTCTCTTTAAAGGGACCATGTTACGCTGTTTGCTGGTCTGTGTCATGATGTTGTTTCCTCGTTACAAACAGATCTGGAGTTGTGTTTTGTTTTATTCACACATGTTTAACACACAAATCCTGCATATTTACGCTGAAAACACTCTGTTCCGCCTTGTGATGTCGTGTACAGGAAGTGCTCCGGTTACATGCCGCCACTCCGACACCGACGTCCAGTTGTCGGAGTGGCGGCATTTACATTTTTTAACAAACGTGCCTGCATTTTTTTTTTTTTTTCCTTGGTCGGAAAGGTTGGAGCACTTCATTATGCCGTTCCAAGGTCATTTTTAAGTTACAGCGGCACGTTTTTCAGGACAATACTGTCATGGACTAATGGCGTAGGAGGCGCAGTGTGGGCGGCATGGTTTAGTCCTGGTTATAGTCCTTTTTTTAGTCATGGTTTAGTCCTGGTTTAGTCCTTTCCTGGTTTAGTCCTTTTTTTTTTTAGTCATGGTTTAGTCCTGGTTTAGTCCTTTTTTTAGTTTTTTAGTCATGGTTTAGTCCTGGTTATAGTCCTTTTTTTAGTCATGGTTTAGTCCTGGTTATAGTCCTTTTTAGTCATGGTTTAGTCCTGGTTTAGTCCTTTTTTAGTCCTGGTAGTCCTGTTTAGTCCATGTCCTTTTTTTAGTCCTGGTTTAGTCCTTTTTTTTAGTCCCGATTTTAGTTCTGGTTTAGTCATGGTTTAGTCCTGGTTTAGTCCTTTTTAGGTTTAGTCCTGGTTTAGTCCTTTTTTTTAGTCATGGTTTAGTCCTGTTTAGTCCTGGTTTAGTCCTGGTTTAGACCTGATTTTAGTCCCGATTTTAGTTCTGGTTTAGTCCTGGTTTAGTCCTGGTTTAGTCCTGGTTTTAGTCCTGGTTTGGACCCGATTTTAGACCTGGTTTAGACTTGGTTTTAGTCCTGGTTTGGACTTGGTTTTAGTCCTGGTTTTAGTCCTGGTTTAGACTTGGTTTTAGTCCTTTTTTTAATCATGGTTTAGTCCTGTTTAGTCCTGGTTTAGTCCTGGTTTAGACTTGGTTTTAGTCCTGATTTAGACTTGGTTTTAGTCCTGGTTTGGACTTGGTTTTAGTCCTTTTTTTAGTCATGGTTTAGTCCTGTTAAGTCTTGGTTTAGTCCTGGTTTAGATCTGATTTTAGTCCCAATTTTAGTTCTGGTTTAGTAGTCTGTTTAGTCCTGGTTTAGTCCTGGTTTATTCCTGGTTTTAGTCCTAGTTTACACTTAGTTTTAGTCCTGGTTTAGCCCTCGTTTTAGTCCTTTTTTTAGTCATTGTTTAGTCCTGCTTAGTCCTGGTTTAGACCTGGTTTTAGTCCTGATTTTAGTCCTGGTTTAGACCTGATTTTAGTCCTGGTTTAGACCTGGTATAGTTTAGCTTTGGATACGTACACAGACTAATAATAAATAGTTCTGTCTGTTTTTGATTCTAACATGGCTTAAAGTTCCCAAGAGTCAAGTTAGCGTCGTAATTATTCACCACAACGACTTTATTCGTGCTTTTCACAACATTTAGAGGCCATACTGAAGTTTACTAGTAACGATATGAAATGAACAATGAAACGTTTAATAATCAGAACACACTCACTCACTCACGCATATATGAAGCAGCTTTTTTTTTTCTTTATACAAAACTAATTGTGACTAAATGTTTGTGTTTCAGTCTGAACTACAGCGGCATGTGCCTGGCGTCTGATGCCCAGTTCAGTGACTTCCTGGACGGGATGGGACCAGCGCAGTTCGTGGGCCGACAGACGCTGGCCACCACCTCCATGGGTAAGAGTTTAAAGGACACAAAACAAAAGAAAAAAAGAACAGCGAGCAAACGAGTGTGGAACAGCAACACAGTATTTAAAGGGAATAAGACATGTTAGCTCATTTCACCAAAACAATTATTTGTGTTTAGGATTTTTTAGGTTCCAGAGCACAAGAAAATAGAGACTTTTAATTTTTTTTAATAATAAGGATTTTGAGCTCAGAAAAAGTTTATGATCTAAAACTAGGTAAAAATCGCCACAAAATCCAACACTTTTGCCTATTAAAAAATCCTTGACAAGACTTAAAGGTTGTATGGAGGATTCTTTTTTTAGTTTCAAATTATCAGTGAAAGTTTAAAATACCATTACAGAGACACAGCAGCCTTGTAATTATGATGATCCAAAAAAAAAAAAAGAATGAAAATCTATCAACTGTGGACGTAGTGAGGCCAGATAAACATCAGCCAATAGGTAACAAGGCTACCTCATTTTCTATTGGCTGTTAGGTTGTCAATCAATCTCCCTACGTTTCTAGTGTGACTGACTCGTCGGCGTGCGGGGATTATGCGGTTTATGCAGCGGTTTCTTAGAGGCTTTTTCAAACTGCAGCTTTGCAAAGCACAAAAGTTCGAAGACCAAACTGAGGTGATTCTTGGAGATTCCTTCCAGCGATTGTGCGACTAAAAATTCGCATTTGCTAAATTATTTCTTGACATGTTACTTCAACAGTAATTCTGAACATGCACTGGATGTAAACAAGCGTGATTTCTAGAGTAAAGAGACGGGAGGAGGTGTTTCTACTGAGGCTGTGGAGGAGGAAGGTGGTGTTACGCATGCACAATATTTGAAAAAGGACTGTCGCTGTATTTCTCTTCCCTTAAAAAATCCTCTATACAACCTTTAATAGACCTTTTAGTTGTGGGTAAATTCTTTGTGGACAGAATGTTTATCCTTTGTCGACCTTGTTGGGTGAAGATTTGGTGATGGGGCAGATTTATGAAGCTGGTGGAGAATATGTGAGACATTTCCACAGATATTTGAAAGAAAACCATTAATGTAAGCGACGTTTACCAGGTTTAGAACTGGTTTAGTATTGGTTTTAGTCCTGGTTTAGTCCTGGTTTAGACCTGATTTTAGTCTTGGTTTAGTTCTGGTTTAGACCTCACTTTAGTCCTGATTTTAGACCTGGTTTAGTCCAGGTTTAGACCTAGTTTTAGTCCTGACTGGTGATGGGGCAGATTTATGAAGCTGGTGGAAAATACACAAGACATTTCCACAGATATTTTGTCATAGAAAAGCATTAACGTGAGTGACGTTTACTAGGGTTAGACCTGGTTTAGTCCTGGTTTTAGTCCTGGTTTAGACCTGGTTTATTCCTGGTTTAGTCCTGGTTTAGACCTGGTTTTACTCCTGACTTTAGTCCTGATTTTAGGCCTCAGTTTAGACCTGGTTTAGACCTGGTTTAGTCCTGGTTTAGACCTGGTTTTAGACCTGGATTATTTCTGATTTTAGTCCTGGTTTAGACCTGGTTGAGACCTGGTTTTAGTCCTGATTTTAGTCCTGGTTTAGTCCTGGTTTAGACCTGGTTCAGACCCGGTTTTAGTCCTGATTTTAGTCCTGGTTTAGACCTGGTTTAGACCTGGTTTAGTCCTGGTTTAGACCTGGTTTAGACCTGGTTTTAGTCCTGATTTTAGTCCTGGTTTAGACCTGGTTTTAGTCCTGATTTTAGAACTGGTTTAGACCTGGTTTAGTCCTGGTTTTAGTCCAGTTTTAGTCCTGGTTTAGACCAGGTTTATTCCTGGTTTAGTCCTGGTTTAGACCTGGTTTTAGTCCTGATTTTAGTCCAGATTTTAGGCCTCAGTTTAGACCTGGTTTAGACCTGGTTTAGTCCTGGTTTAGTCCTGGTTTAGACCTGGTTCAGACCTGGTTTTAGTCCTGATTTTAGTCCTGGTTTAGACCTGGTTTAGTCCTGGTTTAGACCTGGTTTAGACCTGGTTTTAGTCCTGATTTTAGTCCTGGTTTAGACCTGGTTTTAGTCCTGATTTTAGAACTGGTTTAGACCTGGTTTAGTCCTGGTTTTAGTCCAGTTTTAGTCCTGGTTTTAGACCTGGTTTATTCCTGGTTTAGTCCTGGTTTAGACCTGGTTTTAGTCCTGATTTTAGTCCTGGTTTAGACCTGGTTTTAGTCCTGATTTTAGAACTGGTTTAGACCTGGTTTAGTCCTGGTTTTAGTCCAGTTTTAGTCCTGGTTTTAGACCTGGTTTATTCCTGGTTTAGTCCTGGTTTAGACCTGGTTTTAGTCCTGATTTTAGTCCTGGTTTAGTCCTGGTTTAGACCTGGTTTAGACCTGGTTTAGACCTGGTTTAGTCCTGGTTTAGACCTGGTTTTAGACCTGGATTATTTCTGATTTTAGTCCTGGTTTAGACCTGGTTGAGACCTGGTTTTAGTCCTGATTTTAGTCCTGGTTTAGTCCTGGTTTAGACCTGGTTCAGACCCGGTTTTAGTCCTGATTTTAGTCCTGGTTTAGTCCTGGTTTAGACCTGGTTTAGTCCTGGTTTAGACCTGGTTTAGACCTGGTTTTAGTCCTGATTTTAGTCCTGGTTTAGACCTGGTTTTAGTCCTGATTTTAGAACTGGTTTAGACCTGGTTTAGTCCTGGTTTTAGTCCAGTTTTAGTCCTGGTTTAGACCTGGTTTATTCCTGGTTTAGTCCTGGTTTATTCCTGGTTTAGTCCTGGTTTTTTCCTGGTTTAGTCCTGGTTTAGAACTGGTTTTAGTCCTGATTTTAGCCCAGATTTTAGGCCTCAGTTTAGACCTGGTTTAGTCCTGGTTTAGACCTGGTTTAGTCCTGGTTTTAGTCCAGTTTTAGTCCTGGTTTAGACCTGGTTTGTTGGTTGAAGATTAGGTGATGGAACATATATTTTATAGAAAAACATTAAACCATAGAACTAAGATTAAAAAGTGCTTAATTACTTTGATTTCTTCATGTCATCTGCACAGAGCAAAGGATCATGGTCTATGTAGTTCTGTCTGTATTTTTGTTTTTTCTTGATCTATTTTGGTTATTTCGGTTATTGTTACATCCCCACTGACTTATTCCCCACATGTGCTCCAGCGTACAGTGAGATCTGTCCTCCACCTCCCGTGTACTGTCCTTTCTGGCCCCGCGTTAAACTGGGTCAGTCCGGTCCCAGTCCGAGCTCGTCCTTGGCCTGGAAACGGCGAAACCAGCTGGACTTGACTCAAGCTCGGCCAATGTTTCGCCGTTACGTAAATACGAGCCAAAATAACTACACAAAACTGCAGATTCTGAGCCGCTTGTTCTTTCGCAGAGAGATCGAAAAGCAAACAAAAACTCCCGGGCTGATAACGCGGCTTTAATTCGGACTGGAGATTGTTTCAGATTTCAAAAACTTCAAAAATTGACTCTCGTGAGCTTCAAGACGTGTTATAATGTTGTTACTTCCTCCTCGTTCAAGTTCGAAATGCTCTGGTCCACCTCGTGATGTCATGAAGTGGTCGTTTTCAAGTTAACAGCCGATATTTTTATACCTTTTGTTCAGTAGAAATCGGCAATTCCAGGTGTGAAATCATCCAAATGATTCTAGTGAAGGTGTACGGAGTTTAAAAACACAGTGGAGCAGTTTCTGTATTGCCGCGTGACATCACAAGGTGGAGCGGAGGGTTTGAAATCTGTGTATCATTCGTTCGTTTGTTTTTCAAAATAAAAACGAAAATAAGAAAATGAAAACAACAACTACTTTCTTCATTATTTGTCTCCAAAACGAAAAGGAAAAAAACAGATGACGATTTGTTTTTTCAGTTTTCAATTTTTTGTTTCAATGAAAAATGGAAAAAAAAAACGGATAACGGCCTTTTCCAGTTAAACTGTGATGCTGAACTGAACCAGGTCTAAACCAGAACTAAACCAGGTCTAAACCAGAACTAAACCAAGACTAAACCAAGACTAAACCAGGTCTAAACCAGAACTAAACCAGGTCTAAACCAGGACTAAACCAGGACCAGGACTAAACCAGGTCTAAACCAGGACTAAACCAGGTCTAAACCAGGACTAAACCAGGTCTAAACCAGGACTAAACCAGGACTAAACCAGGTCTAAACCAGGACTAAACCAGGACTAAACCAGGTCTAAACCAGGTCTAAACCAGAACTAAACCAGGACTAAACCAGGACTAAACCAGGTCTAAACCAGAACTAAACCAGGTCTAAACCAGAACTAAACCAGGACTAAACCAGGTCTAAACCAGGACTAAACCAGGTCTAAACCAGAACTAACCAGGACTAAAACCAGGTCTAAACCAGAACTAAACCAGGTCTAAACCAGAACTAAACCAGGACTAAACCAGGACTAAACCAGGTCTAAACCAGAACTAAACCAGGTCTAAACCAGGAACTAAACCAGGACTAAACCAGGACTAAACCAGGTCTAAACCAGAACTAAACCAGGTCTAAACCAGGACTAAACCAGGACTAAACCAGGTTTAAACCAGGTCTAAACCAGGTTTAAACCAGGTCTAAACCAGAACTAAACCAGGACTAAACCAGAACTAAACCAGGACTAAACCAGGACTAAACCAAAACTAAACCAGAACTAAACCAGGACTAAACCAGGTCTAAACCAGAACTAAATCAGGACTAAACCAGGACTAAACCAGGTCTAAACCAGGAAACTAAACCAGGACTAAACCAGGACTAAACCAGGACAAAAACCAGGACTAAATCAAAACTAAATCAGGACTACATCAGGACTTAACCAGGACTAAATCAGGACTAAAACCAGGACTAAACTAGGATTAAATCAGGACTAAATCAGGACTAAACCAGGACTAAATCAAGACTAAATCAGGACAAAATCAGGACTTAACAAAGGCTAAACCAGGACTGAAGTAGGACTAAACCAGAACTGAACCAGGACTAAACCAGGTCTAAACCAGAACTGAACCAGGACTGAACCAGGACTGAGTGTTGGGACGGGCCCAGAGGTGTGCCCGCATAGACCGTCAGGTGACTGCCGGCGAAAGGTCCGGCACAGAGCTGCACGGGGCTGAGCCGTCGCCCGATCGTGCTTTTTGGATGCCCTGCTCCACGAGCTCGGGGTTGTCTCTGTTGGTCGCAAGTCAAGATTAGACCTGGTTTAGACCTGGTTTAGTCCTGTTTTAGTCCTGGTTCAGTCCGTATGCTGCGCAAAAGTTCAGCATCACAGTTTAAGTCAAGGAAATGGGAATTATCTGTTTTTTTCCATTTAAAAACAAAATCGAAAACTGAAAAAACGAATCGTTATCCTTTTTTTTTTTTTTTCATTTTCGTTTTGGAGACAAATAATGAAGAAAATACGAAAGAACGAAATGATACACGCATTGTTTGAGAGTTTGAGAGAAGAACTCAGCCTAAATGTGCAGGTTTGTGTGTTAAACATGAATGAAACAAAACTTAGCTCCAGGTCTGTTTGCGACGATTAAACAACATTGATCAGAAAATAAAGTTATACCAGAATTTTACCCGAATTGTGCCTCCGTGTGTGTCT